CTCCTTTTTTTTTTTTTTTAGAGTTGATTGTCTTCAGAAAAAAAAAAAAAACCAAACCAAAACAAACCCAGCCTCATTCGTGTTCCCATCCATTTCTACCCTGATAGAGAAGTTACCCACAGTTCACCGCACCGGTCACGCGCACACAGTCACTGCAACGGGTCCCTCCGAGTGCAGCTGGTGGCTTGGCTCTATCCTCCAGCCCCATTTCAGACAAAGGAGGAGAACCCTGTCACTGGAGTCCGGGAGCCGGGCGCAGGCTGTCCCGTTGGGGTGTACACCCCTCCTGAGCTCTGTGTCGTGATGACAGTCTGGAAATAGGGTTCTGTCTCGCTGGCGGCACACTCCTCGTATCGATAGGATGCTGGGTGCTTCACCTCCTTCTGCTGCCGCTTCCATGAGTTGTAGTACGTGGGGTCGCTCATGTAATGGTTCACAAAGGAGTGCTTTGGCAACTCATCTTCATAATCCGAGTCAGTGGCCTGGAACAGCAGGGGAAAAAAAATAAATCAGCCATTAGCATCTATGATTTAGCCTGTTCCACTCTAAAAGAAATCAGAGACAAGTTTAACATCACCAGCTGACAAAAGCTGTAATTTTAGGGTAGGATGGTTTGTAGTCCCCAAGTTTAATACATGCCGGACTGGAGCGAAGCACTGTGCCCTGGTTTAGCCAGGCTTTGCTGCTAGAGGGAGAGTCCCCCAATGAACGCTCGCGATAAGAGATGCAGAGAAATCAGAAATCCCTTCTAATTCATTGCAGAACCCTGCGGCGGGAGCTATGAGTTCCTGTTTTGGCAGAAGATGCAGGGAAGCGTAGACATCATAAAGAAACCAACAGCTTTCAATCACATACTCAGAAAGATTGCAGTTACAACGGGGAATCTCCCTTCTGATGCAAGGACAGAAAGAACGTCTTCCACGCAAACGCACTCAAGTTACAGACGTGCTGTGGTTTGTGGTGGTCAGAGCAGGGCACCTGCAGAGCGCTCTGGATTTGGCTTGCAAGCCCCATTAAGTATTGAAAATTAGTTATAGCACTGAAAGGGAATTAAGCAAAATCACTTTTTTTTTTTTGGAGGCAAACAACTCTATCTGTATGTTCCAGCTGATTACTGGTGGTACAACAAAGCGCACGACCAGCGGCGACAGAAGAAAGAGAATGCAAAATCTGGAAAAGAAGAACTGCCAAGCAGGAGGAGTTGCTTTCTTGGGATGGCTCAGGCACAACCCTGTCTTCATAGCGGACTTTACCCCTTGAAACATTTATGCACCGTGGCTGGGTAGCTTCAAAGCTCGTATGAATATCGAGCTCCAGTGAAATGTAACCAGATAAGCTTTGTGCATCTGCCCTGCCTCTGAAGTCCTGCTGCTGTGATACAGCTGGAGGAATCATAGAGGGCTGGTACATCTCCTCTGAGCACAGAGACCATGGCAAAGCCTTGGCCACGGTATCTAAGCACACATTTTCCTTCTGTTCCCACTAATGTTCTCACCAATAACAGCCACATCCCGTACAGCTCACAAACATTTACCCAGTCATTTCCATATCTCATGCCTTCTCTCAAAATCTCTGGTTCAAGCACTCAAAAGCTTTTATTCTTTTTTTTTTTCTCCCCTGATGATCTGCATAGCCGATTCTAAAGGCAATTAAATATCAAAGTAGTAGCTGCCTGAGACATACAAGAGAGAGACGGGTAAGTGCAGCTCCTAACTGTTAGTTGCTGCAATTAGTTTCAGAATGTTGCTATCGTTCTGATCTGTGACACCACGCGGCAAACATACATCCTTCTTGATCCTGCCTGCCACACAACTAGTCTCTCCTCCTCTAAAGCTCCTTTTTAATGGTCTCTGAAGAACAATCCCCAAATGCCTTGCGAACCATCGTTTGAAAAGGGCACTGCATCCATCATCCCGCTTCTTTGCTTAGATAGCTGCTTCGATACTATTTCGTGCCCATTTTCCAGCACAGAGGGTGATGGACAGGGCTGAGTAAATTTTCCCAGAGTTTTCCAAAAGTCTGAGCAAAGCACATCTTTAGAGCTTTGCAAAATTTCCCTTCCACTGTTAACCATGCTTTGGCTCTTTCAGGGTTACGTACTGTTTGATTATTTTGCAAAGCTTCAGGTGCCTTCAACAAAACCCTACCAGCATTTAATAATTATTCCAGAAGGAACCCAGCAAGTCCATCTCCTAGAGAAACACTCCTTTGCACCAACTGCCAGCTTTAGGAAGCCAACACCCGACTCCCTCCAAAGACCTTCCTGAACAGGTGGTTTTTGCGGTATGCCTGGAATATCCCCAGATTTGGACTGCATCACAGCCAGTGGCTGCAGAGAACAGCTCCAGAGTCTTGGCACCGCTGCAGGGAACATCCTGCCAGCACTGCCCTGTTTTTGTCCAGGGCTCCAACCAGAGAGCCTCTGATGGCTGCAGATGCAGAAGCATGGCAGAGCACGGCAGCAAGAGCTTGGGCAGGCTGGTCCTCACCTGCAGACACAACCAACTTTACCTGCAGACCTAAAGATCGCCAAACCCTAGTTTGTTCTTATTAAGAATCAAGGTGTTGCACTTTGCACCACCCTACATCTCCAAACACTATGCTTCAGAGTCTAATGTTAAGGTAAAATGTACCTGGGGATGATGTGGGCATCCAGAAGAAAAGTCTCTGCATCCTGGGCAGAGTCAGTTGGTTACGGATCACTTAACTAAAGCAGCACCTGAAGGTATGGACTCCTCTAACTATCATGGATGTGCTCCCTCCATCAAAGGCTACCACTGCCCCAACACGTCTTCTGACTCCCTCCTCAATCCTCCATCACTCTTACTGACTTGGACACTCCTAGCCACCGCCCGAAGAAACAAACCCCTGCTGAAAAGGTGGAGCACATCCGAGTTGAGATGTCATAAAAATAGGGAGGAAAAAAAAGACCACAAACTTCTGGTGGCTCCTTACTGGTCTTCCTGATGTCTCCACACACATACAGAAAAAAAAAGACCACTAGGAGTCTCTAAGAAGAATGCTGAGAAGAAGCTGTATCCACAAGACCGACACATGACTTAGTAAGTATAATAATACTAATGCAGCCATTTGATTTCTGTCCATCGCTAGCAGAAAAATACTCACCCACAAAACTAATATAATTTCTGTACCAAAGCCAAAGTCTTTCAAGATTGCCAGAAGTCAATAAAGAAGAGAAATACCGGGAGCACTTTTAGATGGCCTGCTGCCATTTGAAATACAGTGTCACCTGGACTTACCATGAACAGAAAGAAGGAAATTAAAACAATGCCACCTGCTGATAATATCCGCTATTTAGTTCGCTATACCAACTGAAAGCAAAAACTAATTTGGTGCAAATAAGGCTGGTGCCTTTCAAAAGCGACTTTCCTGAAACATACATAGTTGTACTAACTTCAGCCCTTCACCATCATTAGCACTGATGCTGCAAAGGATAACCTACTTGTCAGTGTCAACGGGGGTTTTCTTTGCGTTTCCTTCAGAACAGGCAGGAACTGACCATTCCATCCATGTTTCTAAAGTGTCTTCTGAGGTCTGCTCTGGACAATATACTGACAACCACCCTTACCAGCAAGGAATTCCTTAAATCGCTGTCCCACATCCCTCTCTGCCCTGGCAAAAATCAAGGAGTAGCAAGATAAACCTGTTTTGCATGACAATACAGACAGCTTATACAAAAGGATTACTTTTTAGTGGTTTTTAAACTATTGAGTAAATAGAAATGCTGCAGGGCTTTTTGCTTTGTTTTCGGTTTTCTCCCTTCCCTGCGACTGTGGCTTTGTTACCTTGGAAACCTCCATAGGCTGGGGCGTGATTGGGTGTGCGGTGACATTACAGACTGTCAACCAAAGGTGCATGGATCCCTTTGAAACAACAAATTCAGGAAATGAGAGGCTATTGAAGCATTTTATTGATAGCACGAAATGCACAAGTGCTGCTCAGAAGCAAGCCAGCAACTGGAGTTGGCTAGCTTAGTCAATGGGAAATTTGAAAATAGTTCCAATTACCTTTTTTTTAAATTATTTTTTTTAAATAAAGTGATGGCATAAGAAACAACCTGATGAGATTATTTCTAAAAATGTAGATGGCAGCAGTTTCTTTTGGCTGACATGAAATGAATATGCTGTAAAAGAGACAAGGTAACCTGGCAGACAAACAGATTTCTCCAGACATGGAAACCCTGTCTTTTTTAAACCCTGAAGGTGGCTTCCACGTGGTGCCCAACTTGTTAAAATCATGGGAGAACTTTATCAGCAACAAGTTAAATCATATTCCCTATTAAGTGTTAAGTGGAAATTTATAATATCTTCCTACAGAGCTGAGAAAGCAAAAGTCGGTTAGACTGCAGAGAGCAGCTGGGAAGAACAGAGCATGGCCAGCCTTCTGCACTGACTGATAACGTGTGCAATCTGTGAGAGTATTATCTCCTGAAAACCGTTTTCAGGAGACCAGAAGGACATGTGAGAACAAACACCACCCTCCCCTCCTCTCCTGTAAAAGTGCTCTTCCATGGCTGGATGACATCACAGATATATCATCAAATTTCTGTACATGGTGAACACCAAATTTCTTCAGATTATCTACCCAGAGCCTCGTCCACTCGACTCATTATCTAAAAGCCTATTATTATTAATCATTTAGAAATTACACTCTTAGCACTCTCTTGCTCCATACCTGCCAATTAAGCCACTTTAACCTCATTAATAGTACTGGTGCTTGGCTTTCACGACATGGAGTAAGTTAACCACTTGATTTATGAATATTAAGAGTACTGCTTCGTCTCCTTGATTTTCTGTTTGTTTCTCTCTTGCTCTCCTCATCAGGAGGCCGCTTGGAGGAAGGCTCCTGGGCAGCTGTGTTATAAGTGCAGTCAGTCAGCCCAAGAGTTTCTCAGACTTCTTCGTGTTCAGTAAACCCCAGGGGACTTGAAGCCAGCGAGCTTCCTTTATTTTCCATATAAAGTCTTGACACCTCAGGCAACAGAGGTAAGACTAAGCAGCAACAAGATGACACACAGGTTGAAAGCAGAAAGCCCAGTTTTGTGCCCTGCCTGCCCTTACGTGCATTGTATTAAGTGGGATTTGAGATGCATGCAAAGATGTATCAGAGGAAACCAGCATCAGGACTCCCCTTTGCTGCAGAGGATCAAACCTGTGTAGAGCTCTTGTATAAAAAGATATCTTTAACTCTTCATGGAATGGGAAACGTTTCTGCCTGCTAAGAGACGAACATTCTGAAATTCTCAGAAAACAGAGCTTGTCTGCTAAGATTTCCTTGGAGAATAGAAACAAAAAGAACAGAAAAGACAAACAGGAAGAGCTAATAGGTACATGAATACTTGAAAAGAGAGTGGTCTAACATCTACACCCACCTTTACCCCAGCCCACCGTCACCTCCTGTCTGCACCAGCCAACGTAAACAGCATTTTCAGGCTGATCAAAAGGCAGCATCTCCTATTGCTGCCTCTACTGGGAGCATATTAACATTTCATGCCTAAAAGCACTCCCCACCACAAAAAAACCCCAAGCATCAAACACATTATAGAGAAGGGCTGCATATCTAAGCCCCAAGGAAAAAGACGCACATTTCATTCACGTACTCACACACACACACAGATTCACAAAAACACGAGGATCTCAATTGAGACCTTCAGGCTCAACTGCCATACACAGTAAATAAATAATATTAATAATAGCCTGAGGAAAAAAATAAGAGTCACTTTTTTCTATGCTGTACAAACAGTGCATGTAGAAGGCAGTAGCGACACCCTGCAAGCAGACTTTTGTGCATTACCAGGAAACACCACATGGGGCATTGAAATGAATGTCAAGAGGTGGCAGTGCTAAATTCATGATCATGCTCAGCAAACTGTTTTAACGACAGGTTTAATGCTGGCTTGTTACAGTGACATGACCAAAGCACTATGGCTTTAATCTGGAGGGTAATGCTTGTGCATTGCACAGACAGCAGCTTGAGCTCCACGAAGGAAAGCTGCCTGCGTGATGGGTCGGCCACAGGGCAGCACAAAGCAGCAGGCTGTCCGTGGTAATTAATGGGAGGTGAGAGCTAGGTAGTCAGGAAAAGCAGCTGTAGCTGCAGGTGCAGAAAAGCTACAGATGAAAACTGTCATCTTCTTTCACTACTTGCTGCTCTTGATTTATTCTTGCTAGAAGGGTCAGGTTTGGAGTGGTTTGGCCCACTGCTCGCTTCTTGAGCTGTCAGTTCAGATTCATCAGGATCCCAGCTGGCAACACACGATTTTAGAGACAGATTTACCTTTCTGGATGTCTGCTGAACTCTGTCTATTCACCCCTGGCCACTGCTGGGCTTTTACAGACCACAAGCACTTTTTTTCTTCTTAAAGGGGATGTAAGACACAAGATGGAGCACTGCCAGGTGGATAAAGCCAGCATACACCCACTTTCCAAGGAGAACAGTCCAAAGGCAGCCTGAGCAGAAGGCTCCTCTTGAGTTAGACTAAGGCTGCAGGCTGGGATGTTCACAAACCTGAATGCTGGGCTCTCACAGCCACTGCCAAGTGCTCCCTGGCAAGTTACTCATGCCCCAGTTACTCTCTCTGGAACAGAGGCAGCAGTTATCACTGCACAAGACCACTCTTCTGAATCTTGGTGTTTGCTGTAGCTGTCTAGAAAAGGCACTGTGAAAACTTCAAACCACATCCCATACAGCAGTCAGTGCAACAACCCAAAGCGTGTCCCACCTTCAGCCTCATCCTGACAGTAGCTGCAGTCACAGCTGGTTATGTTGCAGCATATATACGTTTTCTTAAAAGTGCTCCAAGGTCGCAGCCCACAGGCAGAAAGGGATGTGCAGCCCCTTCCAGGGAGGTCTGACTCATTACACTTGCCTTTCTATGTAACACTGGAAAACTGTGAATATCTGCCAAGGCCAGGTCTGGAATCTGCCCTGGCTGGGTCCTGCTTGCCATTTTTTCCTTTGCCATTTTAATTTTAAGATGTGACAGCCTGGTGAATTGGACATTTTAAAGTCCCCAAGACAGACAAACAATGACACCACAGTATAATGCAGGTATGGGGTTAGAAGTTCAAAAGTTGCTAGAGTTCATCAGGGAAATGAATGTCTGCAGTGACTGGGCAACATTTGGCAAGGCAAAGGGAAACCCTTACCTCAGACTCCGACACTTCTAAGGGCTTCTCGTTCAGGCCCAAGCCCTCGGTCAGCACAGCTCCGTTGTACTTGTTGCAGATATCCTCATCAGAGTAGTGCAGCCCCCCGGGGCTTGGGCGAGGAGGAGACCTAGGAAACGTAAAAGGTGAGTGTACTGAGTGTACGGGATGTTGTAATTCCTCTGACATGACACAATTAAAGGCACAATTACATCTTGCTTAGAAGTCAGAGTCACAGCCTGGGGCAGTGACTTGTGCATTAAAGTCCTCCTTAGATCCTCCAGACAATGTTTTCTCTCCTTTGCCTATTTAACAGTTGCTGGAAGCTGGATAAAAAGCCATTTCCAAGAGCATGGTGTTCTCAGGTTCTTACCTGGTTCCATTCTTCTTTGAGAAGGTGCTCTTGATGTTCAGGTGTCTGCTGTTGAGCTCCAGAGCTGTGAAGCCTCCGTTATCCAGGGTGACCGACTCTTCCACGTTGGAGATGGTCTTACCTGGAGCCAGGCAATGAAAGATTCAGCTGAAACAAAGGCACTTTTCCTTCAGATACAACTGTAAGAGCTAACTTTTCCTTCTTTGTGTTTTATGACATCATTAACTATTCCAAAAAATCTCTTTACCTTTCTTACTGGCAAATGGGAACAATCAGAGTGGAGGAGAGGAGCTTATCGGGGGTGTGAATGGGCAGAAGGAGCCAAAAGAGGGGAAGGAAGGAGTCATGGATGGATTCATTTCATTCAGAGGCAAGTATTTAAAATCACGCAAATGAACTGTGCTCCAAAAGTGTTTATTCTTGTCTTTTGACTATAAATAGAAACCAGGTGACTAATTCAAGTGGTCGCTGAAGATGTCCTAAATCAACTGCTGTCCATCCCATTCATGCTGACTGAAGCAAAGCGAGACAAAGTAAAACTAGGAAAGGCGGAAAAAGAGAAAAAAAAGGCAGAAAAGAAAGCAAGAGAAAGGGTAAGTAGATAGTAAATGGAAAAAATATGTCAGAGCTGTAATGAGGATAAGATATAGATGTGAGAAATCAGTGGACAATGTAAGGCAGGGAAAAGGACAGGGGACTGGAAGAAGAGGGAAAATACAGCAAAGTATATTATTTCTTGTGATCAAATATAGCAAGTGCTTATTCTCTCCCCTGCTCATTCTTTGTAATCCCAAAGGTGTGAGCTCAGCTCGTGTCGCAGGGAGAAGGACCGGTTGCATATTGCCTCTTTGCAGCAGACAGGTACTTCATCCTCAGCTTCAATTTCAGCGCTACATTAAGACTCAGTGTGAACATCGGTATCTGACGGTACAAGTCAGACCTGTCTTTTCATGTCTGTCCCCCAAACACAGACAAAAACTAGGAAGATGAGAGATTTCCTATGAGCTATGCATACAAATATGTAATAGTATTAACTTGGTAAAACGCCAGGATATTCATACATCTTACATCTCATGGGACTGAAATCTGATTTTCTAACACTTGTTAAAACTGAATTATAAAGAAAGAAAAGATCTTCACTTTGGGACTGAATTACTAAATACTGCCTGGAAGACTTCTTCATTACATTAATCCCTACGAACAGGTAGTGCAAAGACCCAACCATCTGATCCTACTCATTAATGCACCTTTTTTGGCACCTCTTGGCATCAGAGCAATTTCTCAAGGTGGCTATCAGAGAAATACATATGTGAACAACTCTTCCAGGACTTTATCATGTAAGGAGAAGAAAAGGTAAAAAAAATATTCAGAGCTCAAAAACCAGACATTCTGAAAGGGGACTATTTTAACATTCCTAGTTATAGTGCAGGTAGCTCCCCACAAACATTTTAACTAAAGGGAAATTCAAAGCTTGGTGTTCATTATGCCTTGAAGTCTAACAGGTCCAGATAACCAAGACACCTCCAAGCTCCTTGGCCCCCAGCCCAGCAACTGCAGCTTGGCTTAGGGAATGAATGTGTGATGCAGGGCACTCTATTTAATATAAAGGAGTTGTGATACAGTCCTCACACATACAGACCTAGAATATTTGCATTGGCTACAGCCACAGAAAAGCAGAATCTTTCTGCTTTTCCCCATCTATCAGGGAATGATGACAAAGCTAAATGAAATCTCAGCTCACTCCTTTTTTGTGGTATTCTGCCAAACATTTGACCCAGACTCCTTGGCTTTTGCTACAGTCCCTGGGACTTCCAGATGCTGCCCTGTCCAAGCCCAGGGCTGGTGAGCATCCAAAATCTGTTATGATCAGGCACTCTTTGCCCAGCATGGCTATGGGCAAAAGCCACTTCTACCAAGCCAGACAGTAAAAAGATCTGAGTCTTCTGCCAAACAAAATACCTATAAAGAGAGCCCATTGTGATGAAATCAGGGGTTCAAAGGGAATACATTTCTAACTCCCACAGCTCTTAAGAGCACGTGCAGCACGGAGCTGATGTCTTACCTGTGCTGCAGTTCTTGTACTTCTTGCTCTGGCCATGCAGGACCAATGCAAACACCACCAGGAGGATGAGGATCAGACTTGAGAGAGCCATCACCAGCAGAAACCACCACTCCTCATAGAAAGGAGCTTCTGTTTGTGCTGAAAGAGCAAAAACCAAATAACAATTCCCCTTTATGCTCCTTCAAAATTTTCCCTTCTTCCCCACAGTGAACAATGCATCTAGAACAGTGTTGAGGAGAGAGAGGTGTTCAAAGGAGGTAACAGTCTACTCTGCAATCAAACTTTTGGGGGCTTGCTTGCACTTCTAAGATGGCAAAGAGAACAGGAGCATACCATGGCTCCAACACCACCACAAGCAACTTTGACTCAGCCAGAGCAGCACTCCAGAACCCCCCAGCTAGTTACCACCGAGTGAGGAGAGGGAGGTTTCTTCCGTAGCTCCACACACCTACATTTCTTGACCACTGTGGCATGCTTAGCACTCCCTGGGTCAGAGGAACCACTAATACATCTGTCATGACCCACGATTATTCCACTTTAAGAGTCTTGCCTCACCAAAATGCTGCTCAATGTCTCTTTGAAAGATACAGCTAGTGCCAGGGCACAAAGTACACTTGGTTCAGAGTGTTTCAGTACCTTCATTAACTCCCAACTTCCAACATTCGCGGCTACTTATACCATCTCCCCATCAGCTTAGCCAAACCTGACGTGCAGCACATGAGTATCAATTCAGTTGCCTCGATTTTGTGCGATTTCAAGTAATTTTACCCCACTTGACCTCAACTGGAGACACAAAGTGATACTAACTTCCCTTTTCTAGAGTTATCTTGCCAGTCTTGGTTTAAAGTAATAAGCATTCTTATTTTCTTGTGGTGATATTCTACCTTTGTCAGCATTCCTCAGCTTTGTGAAAAAACACTGCTGCTGGAGCACAAGCCAGCAGTTGTATAGAATTTCCCTGCATTTCACCAGGTAGAACAACACCTGGTAGGAATAGGTGATGTCAGGACACCAACTTCAACCAAACGCCTCACTGTCACTGAGCCCAGGCACTCTCTTTGCCCAACTATCCTGAGCCCTGGATCTGTTGTAAGCCTCATGATATGAGCTCACATTTGTTCCAGATGACTGAGTATTCTGCAGCAGTGAAAAGTAGCCACAATCTTTTTTTTTTACTAGGAGGCCAGTCCAGGCCAATAAAGTCCTAAAGGCAAACTGCACGAGCCATGCTGGGCTGAGCAGATTCAGGGCAATTTATACCTCCCTGTGCTAGCTGAAGTGGCCAGCCTAAAATGCTTTATACTTTTATGACTGTGAATCTCAACAGAAACCTCTTACTTTCACGCAGCAATTTGAGAGGAACACTGAAGCATCAAAAGGAGGTGAATTAAATAGGTCTGTTCAAGTGGAGAACTTACAAACAAGCCGTTTATTTATAAAAAGCATCACAAGGAGCTGCATGCCCAGCTTCAGCAGAATAATGTCTTCCAGGAAAGGAAAGAATGACATGATTACTGACCCTTTACATTGTGTTATAGCCTCTGTGAAACCACAGATAGAAAAAACACTGACTCTTGGTGTTTGAAGTGGGTTGTCTATGCCCTTGTCCTGAAGGAGAAAAGCAAGGGTAGCACTCACACTGAAATCCACAGACAGCTCTCATGGGCTAAGTGGTTAATTGTGTAAGGACAAATGCGGTCGTGATGGCGATAGCAGCATTTACTCCTCTTGCCTGCTGGGTAACTGTTGAATGCTGTTTATGCTTTTCACTGGAGGAGCAAAGAGATAAAAGCCACTCCAGATACTGGAGCATTGCCAGGTTCTCAGGACTCTCCAGAATTTTGAATCACAAAGCCGCTTTATCAGGTTCTTTTATTCCTCTTGTCTGTCTTTGCTGACACAGCAAGGATGAAACCTACTGCTCAAAAGCAACCTGGAGGACGGCTGGCTCTGCAAGGGTAAGAGGAGACCCGAGCAAAGCTTTTATGAGGGCAAGCTCTCCCACTTCACACTGGGCCATTGAACTCGAGCTGCCCAGACACGGCAAGCTGAGTGGAATTTGTTTTTGAGGTATTGAAGTTCCTTCAGAAAACCTGAGTGCTGGGGTGCTCAAAGGGATTTTGAAAGCATGCTTAGGCAATATCCCGTTTACTGGGAATAGGAACAAAAGAGCGGGGAGAGTGGGAAGAGCCCAAGATCATCATCAACAAGCTGTTCTGATGAAGGGGGACTGGAGGCATCACACCGTACTGGAACTGCCAGCACACAGGATATCAAGAATAATTTTGTGAAACTATGTTTTTATATTCTTGAGAGCTAAATGCAAAATAGCACAGAAAATGTTTATCACAGTACCCTGGGAATGAAAAGAAGGAATCAGAGTAAACAAAACAACAGACTAAGACAGGAGAAAAAGCAAACGAATTGTAGACTGTGTAAATTAGTCTTAGGGCAAGAGGTCTTACATAAAAACACTCATGAAATTCCTGAGAATGTTCTCTGCCAAACTTAAAAATGGAGTGTGCACATTTTTTCTCTTGATAGTAAAGCATACTGTAATAAAAAGCCTTAATTCACCACTATATTACTCTGGCTTTACCCTAAAACAAGTGAAAGCAAGCTGCCCTTGATTATTTGTTGCAACTAGAGAATTTGGGTTGGTTTTTTTTTATCTCTTCCTCCCCCTCAACCCCAAGAAATTCCACTGGAAAAGGTATAAAAAAAAAAAAATCCATGATTACCTGATACTGCCACAGAAGGAACACTTGGCTCTCCATAGCCAAATTCGTTGACAGCCACCACCCGAAATTCGTAGGTCACACCCTGTCTGAGTTTGTCCAGGCCGACTGTGTAGGAGGTAGCGCTGCGAGGGATGTCCTTCACAAACATATCCCACAGTCCTTCATCTAGGAAAGCAGCAGGGAGAGAAATGGCATGAATTGTGTGACTTGGCACTTCCTTCCACTCACTGAAAAGAATTGTCACTAATTGTGCGTTTCAACCACAAGCACCGGACGCACTTACCTGAAGGCTGCTCAGTGATACACACAAGTGCCCTGCAAGACTCCATCTGTAAAGGGATTAATTCACGACGGGGCTCTTATAATTCCCCAGATAGAAGCGGTCTCCTCTAAAACCTGCAGCAGCACCCACAGTGCCCTGAGCTGGCTAGGGCAGCTGCCAGCCATCCGGGTCCCTCCGGACCAGGCAAGGTCACCACATCTGTTCCTTGACCAAAGTAACCAAACCCAAAGCAAGCTGCTACACTAATGAGCCCTAATTGCACACGTTTTCCCTGCTTTTTCCATTGCAAAGCTGACTTCACTCCCCAAGTGCGCAGGCTCAGCTTTGCAAACTAATGTAAGATTTGGGTCTTGCTGGGAAGTACTGTGGCTTTGCATGAACTGGTGCTTGGTGGACTGGTGTCACTGGAGTGCTGCTTGCTTCACAGTATCAACAGTGCTATGTCCTTTGCATGTGCTGGACCGCAGAGTGGCACAGCCCGCAGGGCGAGACAGCAGGCACTGCACTTCCATGCCATGCATTTTTACATAGGAATGAGTTTTTGCTTGTATTATAAACCTCGCCAAGTTGCTAGAAACACAACACCATTCTGATGAGAGAGTTTCAGTAGGGTAATCTTGGTTCTCAGCAGCGATACTGACATTGATCCTGATGTGCAACCTGACCGGGCACCGTTCTGGTCCCTGATCCAACCCATAATCTTATATTCACTTGACTACAACAGAAATAACTTTCAACAAGATGGATGCTGTTACCAGTAAGAACAAAACCAGCTCTAATTAAAAATGTCAGTCAATAATTTTGAGTGCAGGAATCAAACATTAATCTAAACAGACTGCTTTTCAGTAACAATTGGTGCCCAGCGCTTTCGGTGACAAAATGGAGTTACTGTCTACGCATGGAGCCAAGCTCTCAGCTAGCTTAAGCCAGCGCAGCTCTTGCAGATCTGACCTCACAAGTATCCCGTTGGGCTTCTACTTTTAGTTATCAAAGCCGTTCAAGCAAAGTCTATTTTTCTCTGCATGTCCCACAGCAATGGGAATACGACGATAACCTCTGCACAGGTACGACTCCAGCGCAGGAGCTGCCTGCTTTGAAAGAAAGCCCTCTGCACTGAGAGATTCGAGCATCAGCATGACTTCTGTAGCTTGAGGTGTTATCAAGGTAACAACAAAGCAGAACCCAGCAGCACTGCCCTCAGTGACTTGTTCTGCTGCTGCAATGCAAGGCCGGAATCTGTTCTCATTTGCTTTGCATTTACCTGACTGTAAACTAATTGGAGTCACCGCAAGCGATTCCAGAACTGTGCTGGTGTAACAAAGCAAAATTTGGCCCTTATCCTACATCTGTGGAGCAGGGAATAGCAGCAAAGATGGATTGATTAACACTGCAGGTGCATTTCCATGTGAATGTTTCAACTTTGGCAGCAGTAAATATTGGCTCAGTAATTTGTACTGTGCTGCACGTCTAGCAACACACACAATGACTAACAACCCCCAAACTCCATCTTTTCTGATCATGAGGATTGGCAGTCTCAGTGGACGCAAAAAGCAAGCTGAAATGTATTGTTCCAGCTACGTTTGAGAAATACCGAAGAACAATACAAATAGGTAATTTTTCTGTCATGCTTAAAATTCAGACCAATACATTATTCACCAGCATGATCAGAGTATAATGAAGTTATCATAATGTACCATTGTTATGTATTAGTTGGATATTACAATGGCCATAAAACAAGAGATAAAATATTGACTTCCCTTTTACAGGGCAATAGAAGGCAAGATTATTTCTACCATGCAAACTTACAGTGTAATAAAAAGGGAGCCTGGGATTTAGTTCCTCTGAAGAGGGTGGAGTGAGGGATGTGTTTTCAAAGTTAGATTGTTGCAACCACCAATACTAGGAAGATGCATCTCAGACTATAAAATATTGCCATAATTGCTAGAATTGCCTGAGCTTTCATAAACACATTTGTAAACAGCAATAAGAGAATTGCTGAATTGTCTGAAAAGCAATTTGTTTGCATTGAAAGCCACTTAAATGGGGGAAGAAAAGGCAACAATAAAAATGAATGTTTAACACTCACTGCAACAAACACAACTGTTCATACACGCACTTTCTCACTCATTTTCTCAAACCTATCAGGGGGCACAGTACAGAGTATCCAACAGACCAAGAAGTGTAAATTTAACCACTCTGTAAAGCTTGCAATAAGTTGGGAAAACTACCCTTGAGAAGTCAACGTTGCATTTCCACATCTCTTGGCTAAGGAGGCGATGGTGCGGGGCAGCAAAGGCTGCTGGCAGATGTTTCTTTGGAGGGATTCCTGTCTCACAGGGACTCAGAGATGCTCTGGCTGGTGGCCAGATCTTCTCTGGTTCATTCCCCCTTTGGCTCATTGAAAGACTCTTTGCCCAAACTTTTTTTTCTAGAATAGAAAACAGGGCTTGGCCAAGATGGGAGCCAGCATGTTGATCCTTGGAATCCCAGGGAGGTGCCGATGCAGCCACAGTGGTCAGAAATCTGCAGGGTGGCAGCCTGGAAAGGGGGACGTCCTCCTGCCTGCCCCACTGCTGGCAAATGCTATCCACAGTATAGTCTGTGGCTTCCCAAGCTCTGGCCAACAAAGTTTTAAATTCTAGAGTCTTAATTAATTTGTCTTCTCTCCATCTGGAGCATTCAGGCCCCTCTTTGTAGACAGACTGCAATCAGATATATCTAAACTAAACCAGTGTTTTATTTCAGTGGTGAACTTCGAGATTAAATATTGAACACACACTTGTGAATTCGTTCGCTGCATCTCTCCTCTCATCCCTCAAAAGTAGGTTTGCTCTAAATGTTAGAAGTTCAGCTGAAAGAGAATTCATTAGAAGGTCACCTGTGATAGCAAAGATTGGCCTTTAAGTTCAGTAGAAAGTCATTAGTACACTGTACACAGCATTTTCCACTCAGTTTAGGGAGGAAGGAGGCACATGCCATGGGTGGGATAGCAACTGGGTATTAAAACTCACAGAAACCATCAAGAAAAGCAAAGTTTGCAACACAGGAGCCCCGCAGAGAGGTGCAAGGCTCAGCCAGCCCCGGCCCACTCCCGGTTAATGCCTGAGAGAGGCCGCACAGCAGGCAGAAGGGACACATCTGTCCTTTTCTTAATTTCCTACTGCCCTTCAGTGGGCCCTTGGCTGCTTAAAAATGGCCTAAATGTCTGATGGAGAAAGGAGAGCTCCTCAAAAAAAATTACATTTTCTTTGCTTCCTGTTCCTATAAGCACTTCACCAGCCCCTGCCCCAGCCTTATTTCCTGCTAGGATTTGATCTTTATCCCTCAGCTTTGACTTCTCCATCCAATCTGGGAGCGAGGCACGTGTGAGGGGATAAGATCTGAGTGACAGAGGAAGGGGAAACCACCTTCGACCCAACACAATGTCCAGCCTGCCCCGGCCAGGTGCCGGCCATCCTGTGCCAGCAGGAAGCAGCGCCGCAGGCCGCCGCCATGTCCAGCGCCCACAGGCCAGCCCGGCTCCACAGGCAATTAATCAGGGTCTCCATGCTGAATAAAACTGTCAGTCAGTAACGAAGGCTCCCGGCTCTGCTAACTCAGGCCACGGACAAACAACTGCCATGGGGAGATGGAAAACTGTCAGTTTTCTGGGGCTGAAACGCCAGCCTTCCCCTTGGTGTACGAGGAGAGCCGTGCCGTGAAACTTCCTCCTAATTACCCGTGAGGAGGTTTGTGAGGGGAGAAGCTGCTGAGAGGTAAGGACCGGCTGAACGTGGGTAGTGTTCCTCCTACAGAGGACAAAATGAAAACGTGGATGTGTTTGTCAGAGGCAAAGGGCTGGATGATCATGCAAACTAGCGAAAGGACAAGAATGGGAAATGAAGGCTGACAAACTGTCAGCCTTGGCATGTTGTTCGCGAGCAGAAGCGAACCAAAGGCCCCATGGCAGATGCCGGCAATGCAGCTGCACCCTTCACTTCGAATTTACTGACTTTTGCTGGTTTGTGTCCATGTTTGACACTGCACTCCCTCATTTGTTTAAAAATAAATAGAAAAGGAAGAAAACATAAAAACATTACTCAAGACACCAGAAAGGAAACTAAAGTGAGATCTGCCCTCGGGGTGTGGGAAGCAAAACCAGCATTTCTGGGAAGGACAATCCCCGCTCCGAGCAGCGGGTTCTTCCCCCAAAACCTCTGCTGCCTTCGTGGAACTGATCATCTGGGGGAGCAAAAGAAAACACTTTCCTGACTTATCTATGCTCTAAGCTCATGATTTGCAGCTGATGTGAGTTTAACCGGCCTGTTCATGCCAGCCACGGTCCTAGAAATGTTATTATTGGAAGCACGTTAAGATGCAGTTCTCTCCACTGGGCTTCAGTCATCCCCTGCTTGGGAAAAGCACAAACAAAATCCAAAATGCATGAGGGGGAGAGGAAGCAGAAGAGGAAATCTCTATTGATTTGTCCTGGGTCAGAGGCTTTTCCTGAGATGACACAAGGCACGAAGCAGATTGACCGAACACCTCCACGGCTGCAGAAGATGATACATGCACGAAGGTGTCACGCCTGGCAGTTACCTATCCATGTATGCTCCTGGCAGTGTGGATCCCTAGGGCGCTGTGCAGAAACACCTCCTTTGTAGACAGGGGACAGCTGGGAAGGGCAGTCTCTGTGAGACAGCATTGCTTTACAGCCCGCATGCCCACCACTGAGGCACAGTCCAGAGAGGAGCCTTGGATGTGGCGTGGTGGTGGGAAAAGAGGGGTGAAACCAGCTTCTCCACTCCTTCTGGCAGCACTGGGAACCTTATCATCACTGTGCCATTTCTGTCTTTCCCTCTGCACGTAGAAACTGAGGACTTGATCTAACGCCCGTTCTTCAGCCAGCCTTGATGTCTGGGGAGTGCTTACGATGGCAGAGCAGACGCTGCTTAATTGCATTTCTTATAATGCACAAGGAGCTAAACTGGAATCCAATTCTCCAGGGACAAAGAAGTTGAAGGAAAAGAAAAACTCTTCTGTTTCTCTAATGTCTTCCTCCAGCACAGATCAATCTGGAAAAAATCCTGGTCTGCCCGCTCCATCCCCCTGTCTGAGTATATTCAAAATGCAGAGGAGGCCGTCAGCCTGGTCACCTTCCATAAATCCGGGAGAGAAATGGGGAGATCAAATGAACAATCTCAGCTGCCTGCTGCCACCATCGCTAAACCCAGCAGGACAGCCGGAGCCCTGGGAGACACAGCGGGGCACCGAAAAATTCAAAGGGAAGTGACAAAAGGAGGTAGGGTTTGCCATTTCTGACAGAAAGCCACCCTCCTACTCAGATGGAAAAGTCTTGGCAGGGAGCTACAGCAGGGAAAATGAGATGATACAGCATTTAACGTTTGGGGTAATGAGGCCTATAATAGATGACACTTGAGATGTGAAACACTAAAGTAGTGGTATTGCATTTAAATACTGGCAACAAGCTAAAGCTTTTCATCTGTCTGTTCAATGCGCCTTTTTTGATCCCAGAAGGATGAATATCTTTTTCTTCCTTGATTTTATGTGAAGGGCACAGGTCAACTGCTCTTCTCTGGGACAACAGCTCCTTAAAAACACAGGTTGTTCCAATCCACGCTCTACTACCTGTATAAATCAATGTGCAGAAGCAAATTCTTAGAATTTTATTAAAACAGAAGCTGCTTTGAATGACCAGCCCTGACAGGAGGAATTAGTTCCCTGCTTTTGTTGAACTTGTAATTCTGATTTCAAACTCCTCTGGGCAGAGATGAGGAAGAAAAGCAGCAGAGAAAGGAAGCAGACGCTTGGGTGAAATAAGCAAACGTCCCAATTAGTCTGTCTCCTCTCCTGGATCACATTTCACGCTTCCTACAGCTGCAACCAGAACGAAGGATGAGAATTCAGCATACAAATGCCTAGTTCATTTGCTACAGCAGCATGAATAGGATTAAAATAATCTGAAGAGGAATTAAATGCCTCAACAGTCAGGTTGCAAGAGCAGGAGAATAAGATCTCTTGTGTGTGTTTCCAGGAGCAGTGGAGTGGGGCCAGCAGGAGTGACCCAGGGTTAATGCAGCTCAGACCTGCCTTGGAGGGACTATTTTCTTCCTACTCAAAAAGAGTGGGCCAGAAATCCTACATCCTTAGCCGTGAACTGTAAAATGGTCATTCACATCCAAGGGTGAGACAAGCCCAGAAACACTGGATGAGTTTGCAACGTCACCACTCACATGAGTTGAATTTCCAGCTCGCAGACAATCTGCACATGGGCTGCAGTTTCCCTCTAAAATACTCTTACTCAAAAAATCCTGTTTGGGGAAATGTAAGTGAGCTTCAATGAACAGTTTTGGTTTAACTTGCCATCTCAACAGTGCTGTTCAAATAAGACAGGATATATTTTACCTAAGAATAAATAAGGGCAGAAATCAATAAGCTGATGTAAGGGAAATAGAATCACGGCAGTGTCATGCATCTAATTAAAAAAAAAACCAAAAAACAAAAAACCCTTGATTGTTCTGAGAAACTCCCAGTGCTTTGAGAAGGTACACCTTTCCCTTCACTTTGTTTTGAAAACAATTGTCAAGTTAAATGACAGGAATTGGGAAGAAGTTCTAGGGTCACCACAGAGCCTCGCTACAGAGCAAATTCCATCAGGTGCAAGAACGGAAATCTGCGTTGTCAGTGATGACCACAGAAACACAGGCAATAATGTTGTTACTGGTCTGGTTAAACATAATGAGAATCATTGGTTTTAAACCTTTCATTTCAAGACACATACAAGAAACAGTTAGGATCAAACAGATAAACATTCATTTAATCAATATATAATCAATGTGCAACCACCCAGAAGTAAAAAAAAAAGGAAAGAACAAGCAGCCAACATAGATATGTCAAATATAAATCATGTCTAATTTCCTTCTGTGACAGGGTAGCAGACCTTGTCAATAGAAGAGAAAGAGCAGACATCATCTATCCTGACTTCAGCAAAGCTTTTGACATCATGACATTCAAACATGACCTATGTGAAGCAAGTATCTGGTAGATGCATCACCAGCTGGAAAACTGTAATCGGCGAATAGTTACCAACATTCATTGTCAGAGTGGAGGGCAATTATTGATCAACATTACACAAGGGTCTGGGAGCACTCACTAGTTTTTGTTAATGACCTGTTTACCCGAAAGTATGCGCTTTTTGAATTTGCAAGGGTTACTAAGCTGGGAGAGGCTGAGAACAGGCTGGAGCATACGCCTACATTTCAAATGACTGTGTCCAGCTGAGGAAATACGAGAGGCTGAGAACAGGCTGGAGCATACGCTTACATTTCAAATGACTGTGTCCAACTGAGGAAATATTTGGGAAAAAGCATGGAGCAGCTTCAGTAAGACACAAATCCCAGAAGCAAAGGAGCTCTGGGAAAGCACCAAGAAAAACTGTCATGATGAGGGGATTCCTCACCCCCTGCAATGTCCCCCCTGCAGAGCAAAGGGGGAAAGCAACGTGTACGTGGTGCTGAAGTCCTGGCCCTGCTATTAACAGTGAAACAGTAATTAGCTGCCACATTCTGCTGCACAGGAGGACAGATTTCTATCTGTCGTTCTTGAAATACAGTGTGCAAGTACTTACTGGTCTTTGCACATGAGAGATACTGTAAGCATTTAAGTGAGCTTTAATTATTAACCATATTAGCTCACCACTTGGATGATTTACCAGTGATGTAGTGCAGTGAAAGCCAGAGCACTCAGGGTAATTTTCTGTGACTGCTCCTAAACAGGAAAAAATCTGCTAAACCACATAATAAACCAGCAATGGTTTAATACTGGCCAGTGACAGAATTCCCTCACAAAATCCCATTACCTTACTGGGATGACAAATAACCTCTCCACTGCAGCATTGGTTTTAGCGTGCACTGGAGGAAGGGAACTCAGGGCATCAGGGTCTCTGTGTTTCCCATGGCTTACCTGAGGGTCGTGCCTCTATAATGTAACCAGTTGTGGGTTTTTCTCCTGAATCTCCTTCGGTCCATTGCAGCGTCAGCCCAGAAGCAGACTTCGTCACCAGAATTTCCTGAGGGGAGCCAGGAGACCCTGAAGGATGAAACAAGAATAGCAAATGGTGGGGGTGTCACAGACAGACTGCAGTATTCTCCATTTCTTCTATTGATACAGGGAAAAAAAAATATCTAGAAGTATCGGTCAACATAGAGGCAACATAAATCATCTCAATAGGCTATTGACCTGCATTTTTCATAGTTCTAGTACCAGCAGTTACATATCAATAGCTGGGGTTTACAGGTGCCTGTGTTAAGAAGAAAAGAGAAAAAACACTCTCGTTGTAAGCATTAGCATATCTGCAGCACTTGCACATTGCTGCTGCTATTTCTGACTGCAGAGACGAAGCCAGCCTCCGAGTTTCAGGGAGAGGTTCGTAGGGACAGCTGCCTGCCTGATGGCTTGGGAAGATGCCACGGCCACGCTAGAGAGGATCCGTGCTTTATACTGTCTGTAGTGGGGCATGAGAGTTAAACTGTGGATCCACGGCACTGCTGTCCCAGCTAATGGCTACGGAGGGTGCCGTGATAAAATGAAAGCTTGCTGGCACCCAGAAGGGTGAAATCGCCAGATGTGGCTCTGATGGAGGGAGAAAATATTTCTCTGAGCCAGAAAGGAAGCTAAAATCAGAGACGTGACCATTGCATTGATGTTCTGTGATTTACTGGACAGGTTTATATCATTGGGGGGCATTTACCTTGTTAGACAATATATTTATTACAACCAGTGATCAAATAAGAAAACAAACTCTTTTGGTACACACATTGAACCAAGCTGGTGTTCAGTCTGTAGCTCCTCTTGACATATCAGGACATTTTCAGACCTCTCCCTCTGCATAAACCAAAGTGTCAGGAGAGAATAACTGCGAATTCTTTCTGGCTTTACATCCAGGAACCTCTGCTGGTTTCGGCAGAGTTATTCCACTTCTGTCGCCACTGCATAGCAGTACAGTCAGAAAAATGCGCTGTGCTGTCAGGCTGCAGCTTTGAAATCCCTGGCTAGCCCATTTGTGTTATGATTTATTCACACAGTTTTGTTTATTCACATCAGACTTCTAGGTTTCAGGAAAAAAGGAAACATGTTTTTTCATGGGCAGTTGCAAAACCCAATGAATCATGTCCTGACCTCCTGTGACTCAACTTCTCCTTGGCTTGGAAATTCATTTGAAGCCCTGAGTGCACTATTCCCTGGTGTTGGACCATGTTTGTAAAACAGATCTGGCTTGTGACATGCTTTTATGGTTCCACTTACCTTCTGCTGGCCCAGCTGTGACGTTGGCTTGCACTTCAGGTCCATAGGCAATGGTTCGGGCTTGCACTCGGAATAAATAGGTCATGCCCTTGGTGAGATCTCGGACCTTCAGCCAGCGTTGCCAGTTCCCTTTAATATCCACGGTCACCACCTTACTCACCCCTGGAACAGCCACGCAGATAAAACAATGAGAGAAGGTTGCAATGCAAAAAAAAGAAATCAAGTGGAGCTTATTACATCTAGATGGTAAGTAAAATTATCTAACAGTTTGCTAAGAAAGTATTTCTTACAATTAGCAGGAGTTTAAGTAGTGATAATAGCCAATTTTCAGCACTGATAAGTATAATTAGAGTTTAAGCTTGATAAGTGGGTACTGACAAGAAAAAAACCTTACAACACTACTGGGAAATTACCAAGAGGCTACACACAACTTCACTAATTACTCTGGGAAGAAAGAAGGAGGTAAACGAAGAGGACTGCATGTTGCAGATTGCTTCCTAAGCAAGCGTTTCTCTGAGTAACCTGCAACATTTCCTGGGGGAGGAAACAAGGGGCAGATTCTCTCCTTTCATCTCGTCCTGTCATTCCCACCATTACCAATGAATGCAGAATGAAGGACGTGTATCGCACAGGTAGCTTGTGGGTACAAATGCCACTGCAACAGAGGGTGCAATCAAAGCATTATTAGCTTGGACAAGGCTGAAGTCACGCGTTGTGTTTCACTCTTCTCACTCTCTAAGAAATTTTCTTACACACATGAATTAAAATCTTTCCTCCATCACGGTTCACAGCTAGTTTCATGTTTACGTTCTCAACGCTGCATAAAGGGCAGAGAGGAAATGGGTGCTTTGAAAACAAAAAATCTAGTTTGCACTGAAATTTTCTAAGTCAATGGAAAGAATTTGATTCATAAACTACTTTACAGAGCAGAAAGTTTGAATTTACAGAGTCCTTTTGGCATTCTTCTGGTTTTGCAGAAGTACATAACATTTCAAACCAAGAAGACAGGAAGTGGGAGAATGTTTTTCCCACTAGAGAAGGCTGCTTGCTAGTTTATCTTTCCAGAAAATTGCAGAAGGAAGATGCTTTTCCATCTAGATGCTTATTTTATGCAAATCAAGATGACGCTTTCAGTTTTTATCACTTAAATAAAAAATAATATCCAAGCGATTTCTGTTCAAAGTTTTCTCCCAGATACCATTTATAACTCAGGGAATCTTTCCTCAGTTAATGAGGAAGCAGTAAAAGTGCTGCCTCCTTCCCTAGGTGTACTATTTCATTTCTATAAGACAAAACAGGAAGCATTTGTCATTTTGAAGTTATGTTCGAAAAAAAAAAAAAAAAAAAGGAACTGTTAAAAAAGGCTCCAGGGCAATTTTGTTGTCTATTGTGTAAAACGCAACACTGTAAAGCTTAAACAATAAAAGATCAAACAGAGAGAAGGCTGTGCTAAAGAACAGATCGCTGCTAGAAAGTTTTGCAAAATATGCAGGTTTTAAAAGGTTGCTTGGGAGTGGGAAGGCAGGAGGTGTCACAATGGTGAGGATGCTCAGCTGAAAGTCATGAGTGGGTGTAAAGTCAAAAGATGCTGGAAAAAAAGCTCAGGGGGTCTGGTCCATCCATGTTGCTGCTGGCATGGAGGAAGGTGAGACCTGGGGCTGGAAGGACCCTCTGGGATGGTGGCAGCTGCTGGCCCCTCGAGCCTCGCTGCTGGCACTCAGCACGGTGACGTGCTCCGTCTTCAAATGAGCTTGGTTTTACCTTGCTCTTTAAATAAAGGAGCATGGCTTTTCTGTCAGAGGAAAATGATGGCATTGAGGGACTCCTTACTGTGGCAGGAGAATAAATATGTTTGTTGAAGGAAAAATTTGGCACAAGAGCAAATGGTTAGAAATTGGAAAATAAATTCAGGCAAAAATTTAGAATCTGAGGAAAAGTCCCCTTCATAACCTCCCTGCTCACATCAGAATTCTACAGGGGAAGGAGAGACAAACTGGAGTCAGAGATAGCACAGGCAGAGGTGGGGGAGAGAAGAAAAGAAAACAAAGATTCTGAGGATGTTAAGTCAAATGCATGCAGAGAAAACATGATCTGACACTTCCATATTTTCAGGGGAAAAATTGTATTCTTAAACATTGTGTAGGAATGAATAAAAGGCAGGAAATGCCCAAACAGCCCAAACATCCTGCATACCCTGTGCACATTTCTTGGTCAGAATTAGAAATGCTTTCTGCATTAGCTCTTTTTGCTCAGACCTGCCAGCCGTAAAGGCGGAAAGTGCTTTTATTCTGGTGTTTTCATTCCTGAATATAACTTTCTCAGTCCATGAGACACAGATATTAGACTATATAGATCTTTACTCCTTACAGAAGAAGCAAATACCAGTGATTGATATCCTCATTTCTTTGGAAAAGAGTTTAAAATGGATTGGCAATGGCTGAAATTACTCTCTCTGCTGTCACACTGCCAAAGTTGGACATCCTATTGAACTACTGGCAATCTACCAGGAATATAAAAATATTAATAAGACCATCCACAAACTTTGTAATCTTTTCTAATTCACCTTTGGAATAAATCTACATTTGTTTTCAGAGAAATTGTCAAATCTTTCTCTGGTGCTGTTCTGGCAAATTAAGGAAACATTTGTGGCCATCACGTTGTTGTTGTGTAGGTTACATCTAGTGCTGGGTTAAAAATGCTGTTTGAAAATTCCACATAAACAGACACAGCTAAACCTCTATCACAGTTATTCTCCCCTGTCAAAAGCGGCAGAGGTACCAGTGATGACTAGCACATTTGATGCCTGGGCAATCTTTGCGATAACAGAAGTGACACATGATGTGATAAGCAACAAAAAATGTGTCTGACGACTATTCTGGGATGGAGCCTACTCAGCAATTTCACAGCGCAAGGCGGGGAGACAATCAGGCGCTCTCAGGCTGAGTTTCCTCTTTGCCCATACCAGGTAACGACGGCAGTAAAATGACTTTTTAAATCACACAGAATATAGTTTGTGCAAGAAAATGAGAGGGGACAGACAAAAGCTATATTCCACAATATTATGGTTTTCTGAATGGTTTTGGCAAAAGCAGAATTGTTTTACTTACCCTCTGCCACCTGGCCTCTCTTGGAAAACGCAGAGAGCAAGTAGGAAATTGGGCAGAGATAAAAGATACTACAGTGCTTTTCTGTCATTTCTCCATGAATATGTATGATCGGAGGTCTTTCTTACCCTGGATGGGAGCCAAAGGCTCATAGACTACTCGATAACCCTGCAGGACTCCATTTGCTGCTGTCGGCTCGCCCCAAGACACATTGAGTGTAGTGCAAGTGATTTCAGAGAACGCCAAGAAGCTGGGGGCACTGGGTGCTGAAAGGATTACAAATAGATTGAATTGCAGTAGGAGAAGTCAATCTGATATACATATATATTATAAAACATTGGTTTATTTGCCCAGCAGAAATCTAAAGGAAACAAGCTGAGAATGGGATTTGTCAATTGTATCCAAATGTCCTGTAATCAATGAGAAACCCAGCCTGTCGTAAGAAAAGCAGCCACTCAGCTGCAAATCTGAGCTTCAAAAGCAAGCAAAGAGACAGGACACAGAAGGAAAAGACCCTCAGAAGGGCACTATGTGAGCATACAGCCCGAGTGCACGCCTCCTCTTCAGAGCCACCAACAAGGGCATTGCCTTCACGCTGTGCTGGAGCTGTCTTCAAAAAAACCTGAACCAAATCAAAACCAAAAAAACACCCAAAAAAACCCCCACAATAATTTTCTCACACGACCGTTTGGGGAATTTGCAGGCACTGGAGACAAGTTTCTTCAAATTTTCAGGTGTGATAGCAGACGCCAGAAACAGACCCCCCAATAGTTTTCTTCCGGACCACCTCATGATCTTGTTTCTGTTGCATCGCTCCCTTTCCCACACAGTCCACTTACTCGATCCCTTTTTCCACCTTCAGGACCATTACAAGGTAATGACCCATCCCAAAGCTAAATCTAAACACCAGTGCCCTCCTGCATCCACCCATTTCCCCAGCCACTGCCCAGTAACATGCTGGTCATCACCAAGTCTGTGCGTTGAGACAAGACATCGATCCCGTACCCGCCTGGTGCGTCCTGCCCTGCGAGGGGCTGCTCCGGGGGCCATCCCCGGCTGCGTTGAAGGCAGAGATGCAGACCATGTACTGTGTGTGGCTGGTCAGGTTTTTGAGCCGGATGGTCGTCTCCGGGAGGAAAAGGACCTTCACTTTCTCTGTGTCATTTTGGGTGTCACTCTCCCAATAATAAATCTGTTGAGACAGTGAGACGTTTTAGTATATATATACTACACCTAGAAAATACCTGGGGATTGCAGCTATGAAAGATCAGGAAGATGGCGCAGTCTTGCTCCAGACTCCTCTGTTAAACGGGATACTAATGCTTTTCACCACGTGCTCATTCTCTTATCTTCCTCTGGCAAATTCCCCCGAGTGCAGCGACCCTGTAGCTGAGCATACTGCTCAGAAATAGAGCACGGGCTGAAGAATATGGCCTAATGACAGCAGATATGAGCTGCCAGAGTTCAGCAATGAGAGGTCAGTTTTTAAATTCTCCCTGAAATGCTAGCTACTTGTCAGCACTGGCATCCTGATACGATGCTCCATAATTCACTTTCACATGGCACACAACAGTTTCACCATTTGTGTTCACAGGACGGCTAAGCAAATGCCTTCCTGAAGGGTGTAATAAAGACTTCCCCTAAGGTTCCTTGGGGTACTTTTCCCCATTCTTCCTTTACATCATTTTTATCCTGATGCCACAAAATTAGGCTTTGGAGACGCTGTTTCCAAGAGGAAAAGTGGTGCCAGCCCTACTTATTGGACAGGCCTGGCAGCCAGAGCATTACAACAGGCCAAAGCAAGGCAGAAAGTTGAGAGAACGAGCCAAGGCAAGACTCCACCTTGGCTTTACAAGCCAAGCTGTTAGAGCCATCTATATACGTACAAAAGGAAAAGAACATGAATTGATATATAAGGATGCTCGTGACTGCCAAGAATTGATGCCAGATTATTCACATTGGCTTGGCTTTTCTTCACTTATGGACCTAAATTCACGGGGAGAGGCAGAGCCAGACACTGAACCCAAGCCAAGCTCCAGTGTTTGTAGACTTGCCCATTTCCACTCTCTGAGGGTCCATTCTCATGCTGGAGAAGCTAAACAACATGCCTCTGCAACGTGCTCATCTCCTATGAACCAACTGCAACTAATACTATGATTTAATTTTGTTAGAGTTAAGGAAATGAAATAATTCTTACAAAATCTGACCTGGCTCAGTCTTCTACCTTGGAGAAAGTTCTGCTTTTCCTAATGGCTTGCAACATTTGACAGACAGAAAGCTCAGTTAATTTTCTTGAATACATTTCTTGCCCCTAGCTCTTGTGTGTCTGCTGCTTTTTGGAGCAGATATGTTGCCTGCATTAAGTGGAACTGCCTCCTTATCTGCATACCCTGTTTCCCAATGCTCTCCTCCCACAAATAATGACACACTTTTGTTTTTCTTCCTCCCCCCTATCTCATTCTCTTTCTTTTGATTTTGGGACTTCGTGCCATTTCTGTACTGCAGCCCAAATGCTGTTTTAATTTGCCTTATGCAGTGAGGGGAAATGCAGTTTGTAGAGCTATCTCACAATTAATAGCACCGCCAAGCAAGATAAATGAAACCAGCAGAAACAGGAGGATTGCCTTGTAGCCTTGGATGTTCCCATTCTGGCTGTCAGCAGGAGGGGGGTCCCAGGTGAGCTCCAGCTGGCTTGCAGAAAGGGAGTTGACTTGGATATTTTGTGGGGCCAGCGCTGGTGCTAGAGAGAAAGGAGGACAGAAGAATTAATAACGACAAGCAGAACTAGTTCATATCCAGGTTGCAATCTGCCATTTGTGGAAGGACCCAGGACAGACTCTGTTTACGCCACAAGCCGGCGAACAGAGTCAGCCCCGGAGCCGTCTGCATTGCAGGGAAGGCTCAGCACACGTGGACCAGGGAGCAGCCGAGCCTCCGGAGCTGGTTATGTTCTGTCCCACACACACTGACATTGAATCAACTCAGTCCTGCCAGCAGCTATGGAAAAGAAAGGAGAATTTAGTCTTCGTTCTATGGTGAGGGTTGGGGATTGCCTGTGGCAGTGACACTGCGCCCCGATCGACTGCTCCTGAAAGTACCTGGGAGCAAGGCAGCCTCCCGCCACCGCCAGCCTGGACCCCGATGCAGCAACAAATCTTTATAGCAGTCTGTTGCACAGCTCCAAGACTTAGGGCCAAAATACCATCCAAAATTACCTCCAAAAACCAGTCAGATGCTAATCAATTCAACTCATATTTTATGTATGACAAAATGACTTTCAGTTTGCTAGCTGTAAACTCTGCTTTGATCTATACCTTCACATACGCACGCCGGACCTCTTTGGCTCCTGATGGCATTCCCTCTTTGCATTGTGCCGAGCTAGAAAACTAATCTTGGAGTGCACCTGGGTCACACCAGCTTTCTCTTTGTCGGGATCCAACTTGGGGCAGGTGGATTTTCTTCCCCAGCGACTAGCAAGGACACTCTGTTTTCCAGACTTACTGTCTCTGCCTCCGGCAGGTCTTAACAAAACAGCACATGTTCTGTTTGCAGAAAAGGTGCCGAAGCGTGTCCTCTTCAAACTCCAGAAGTAGGAAAAGAAAGGCAGGGCAAAGGGTACGCTTCTCCTTTCTCCGTGTCCACAGTGTCATAGCCTTCACCCAGACCACCTGAGCAAGCTGCCTCTCCTCTCTCTGCCCCTTTATGGGCCATAAATAGAGGTGATAAAACATTCACTACTCGAGTCAGATAGCCTCGGTTATCTGTTCCTCTGGGGACTTCTTTCTTTAGAGAGAATGACCTTCATAAGTCACACTTTTCTACCAATACTCCCTCCCTCTAGAGTTATAAAATAAAATAGTAATTAACACCCACTCAGCCTGACACCAACTATTTATTTTGTTCTAACTGTGTGGTTTCCATATTATCACTGCCCACCCTGCCGTTAATGGAAATGTTAATAACCAGCGCCAGGTTGTTGTGACAGATGCTTGGGCTCATTATCAGAAATTCTTATTTACCGCTCCATTAAACGACAGAATCGCACAAAAAAACAATTCAATCAAAACTAACTGGAGGAATTTTAACAGCCACATTAATAATCCAAAACATAAATAAAGTTAATGTCTTTTGCATGTTTGCCATCGGCAACTCTATTGCAAAATTATTGCTGTACAATTAAAATGTGAAAGGCAAAATTGAAAATAGCCTTTATCCCAGGGCTCAGTTAAAACTATTATATTTTTTTGTTTTCCTTTTCGGATGGATTTAGGGGATGCACGAGGTGACAACGACCATCAGTAGAATACAGCTTGTTCACAGGGGTGCACTCATCTCATTGCTGCACTGGAGGAGTGAAGGGAGCAGCCGCCGGCTGCTTTCAGTGCAGTGTAGGGCTCTTCCATTAAGGACCAAAAATCTCAACATTTTGAGACTTTCACAGCATGCATCAGAGTGTGAGGCCAAACTGATCACACAGTACAAACCTGAAAATAAATCGTGGAGGTTTGCAGATGACATGCTCAGGGAAACAGGAATACGTACCATCACAGAAGAAAACAGATCGCTTTAGCAAGGTATTTTCTTTCTAGGGAGTGACACTACTGTCTGTCCTGAGCTGACAGCTTCTAAGCGCTCTCAATACCCAGGTCTGAAGCAGCGTCTACAATAGCATTTTTCTTTGAATCCCATGTGCCAGCCTGCAACAATTGCTGCTTCGGAGATGCGACCGTTAGAAGAACCAGCACATGCATCCTGCTGCCAGAAAAACACAGGTCTTCTAACCCTTTTTGGGTTATGTCTTAGAAACACAATGGTTAAAAACTGCCAGTGATCATTCTCCGCTGCCACTCTCGCTGATGGAGCTGCACTTTTGCTGGCATGGTGGTGGAAAATTTGATAGGAGGAAAAAAAAAAAGACTATGTGGAAAAAGATATTTCTCTTTGCTACCCCAGAGCCTCAACAAGATGCAAATTGTTTGGTTTTGTGCCCTGTGAGTCTGTCCCTCTGTTCAACTTTCAAAGGCTGATGTGCCCCTCCTCTTCTAAGCAGAGATTTCTTGTTGACAGCAAGGGACAGGAGAAAAGCACTTGCTGATGCTTGATGTGGCTCCGTGCAGACAGCGTGTTACATTAAGGGTGAAATGAAAATACTTCAAAAAGAAGGAAACACATCCCTAAAGACTCTACCTGTTTGAAACCCCAAACCATTCACAGAATGTATGGACAGCCTGTGCCAACAAAAGCAAGTGCTTTTTAGAGGTGAATTCAAAAGCATTTTACCTTCTAGGAATGCAGTTCAAGATTACTGAGCTCTGAATTTTTTCACAGCTGTTCAAATCAGGAATACACACAAAGCAAGGTTAAAGCTGCATACCTCACACTGCTTCAGGTGTTAGTGACATTATCAACCAGAGCAGGAGTGACACAGACCCCCGAGGGTCCAAACTCAGCTCTTGGCAAGTGGAAAGCATTTTGCTTTCCCTGAAAAAACAACCCAGTATGTACTCATGAAGTCTAACTCTGTGCATGTAATCCTGCCTTGGAATCTCATGCAGATATTTGTAAACATTTCTTTTCTTATCTGATTTCAATTCAGCTTTGAGACTGTCTCCTTGAAACTCACAGCCAAAAAGTCAGGAGAAAGGCTGAGCAGGTTGTACAGTAATTAGTGCAAAACCACCATCATCTACAGGCTGGGATGATGTTGGCAGGATCACGTAAAGACAACAAATCCATCTGGAAACGCAGTCAGAGAGTCAAAATGAGCCCGTGAATAAAGTTACACATCTAAATCCACATTTAAACATCTCACTGCCCTCATTTTCCAGCCGTACTGAGCAGCCTCTGCTCATACCGCCGTCAATTTGAGCTTGCAAATGCTTATAACCTTTACAGAGAAGGTGCTTTAAATCCCCCGTGGCCTGCCTGCACCGGAGCTCCACGTGTTGCAGGAGGCTCACGCCAGTTTTTCTCGCTGCTTGCTTGGGATATTTGCTCTCTGGGCTGTGTGGCACTGAGAGCTTTTAATCAACATGAAGCTACTATTCCTTTTCTTAGCGACAGTTGCCGCGATGCTCTGTAGCACAGGTAGGCTACAAATCCTTGTGATTCATTGAGTAAATTTAATAACTGTTTTTATGAAGCATTCCTTGCTGCTTTTACATCTGCTCCAATTTCTGGGTAGCAAAAGATTTCTCCTCTACTGATTTTCTAATTGTTTCTATTATGCCAGTATTATGTCAGGAAATTCACAGACAAGTCTGGGACAAGATTCCCTGATACTCATGGCTTTTAAATAAACACACAGGCAAAAAAATGGGAAAAAAATGCAGCGAAAGAGACTGAAGATTTTCAGTGCATCAGCTTGATCCCCCAGTTCCCAACAATCCTAAGCAAATTTCTCTTTTGTAAAGACCTCTGATCCTTTTCTATCTAGCAAGCATTCACCCCCAGCTCATCAAAGCATGCTTTTGTGAACATGCCTCCTTTTATTCCCTAGTAATCAATATATTTGCATTTTGGTGTTAGCACCTAGAGGCCAGAATCTCATTGCACAATGTGTTGCATAAACACAGAACAAAGAGACAGCTCCAGGCCTAAAAAGCCTCTAATCTGTGTGTCTGCACGTTATAATGGAGTGGTGGCTGCAGCATGTTCTGACCTACCAGCTGTAATCTCACCTACCTAGCGAGTAACTGCAAGACAGGACACAGCGATATTCAGTGTAGCATGTACCCGCACACACCGCACCTCCAGAGCTCACACACCGGTTCCTGGCACACACGGTCATGGAAAGCAGAGCTGGAAGGTTGAGAGTTGGGGGTGTTCAGCCGGGAGAAGAGAAGGCTCCGGGGAGACCTTAGAGCAGCTTCCAGTGCTGAAAGGGGGCTACAGGAGAGATGGGGGGGCTCTGGATCAGGGGGTGTGGGGATAGGATGAGGGGGAATGGTTTGAAGCTGGAAGAGGGGAGACTTAGATGAGATGTGAGGAAGAAATGTTTTCCTGTGCGGGGGGTGAGGCAGTGGCCCAGGTTGCCCAGAGAAGCTGTGGATGCAAGGCCAGGCTGGATGAGGCTTTGGGCAACCTGGGCTAGTGGGAGGTGTCCCTGCCCATGGCAGGGGGTGGCACTGGATGGGCTTTAAGGGCCCTTCCACCCCAAACCATTCTGTGATTCCATGATTTGGACAGCACCCAGACAAGCCTCCTCCCGCATCAGATATTTTGTGCCATCTTGATCACTGACCTCTTCCCAGATTCCCCTGCCATTCCCACACAAACTTTGACAGAATATCCCTATTTTGATAACTTTTAAAATAACTCTCAGGTTGCCTTTTTATCTTTTCCTTTTTTTTTTTTTTTTTCCCCCAATGTCTAACCTAAACTATCCTCCCTGTATTGAAGTTCTGTCCCTGCAGTGGTGTGGAGAACGGATTGTTTCTTCTCCCGTTGCAGCCACTGCCCTCCAGTTACAGTGTAGATAAGCAACAGTTAAGTGGATTATGAAAAACAAGCACAACAAAACAAACAGAAGGTCACAAGATAAAACAGCGAGACTGATCTGCAGAATGGGCAAAGTGAGACGCAAGAGGTTTTCTCGCAGTATGGGCTTAGAGAAGGAACACGAGGATGGTACCTCCCAAGAAAGAACAAAGAGGTGTATCTGCAGATGTTTGCAGTCACTCCTCCCATGAAGAAAAAGCAGCATGAGAGAAAAATGTTCAGTGTTTATTGGCCATTTTC